GATTTGTAGGTCAGGGCATCTCTGAAGATACAAATAACTACAAATCTAACTAAAATCAAAATCTTCAAATAACTGTAGGTTTATATGATTGTAATAACAACATTAATTTAAACATCACTGAGCAGTTTAAATAATCTGTTGGCAGATATCTTTCTCTATAATTTATTATACTTACATATGATCCCAACAGTCATTACAGAGGTTACAGATCCTTTGGTCAGATATGGCGATATTAGGATTTTAATAATATTTCAATGCAACCCTACAAAAAAAACATACCTATAAATACCCACAACATCATAAATAACATCACTTTAACTTAAAATAAATTGTATAACTCCCACATTTTATTAAAGATGGTAAGATTCCAACAGTTTCCTGTGATCAATCATTTAACCTTACTTTACTGAGACATTAGTTTTTAAATCCTGAAAACATAGTTGAGATGTTTTGCAGCATCATGCCAACATTTTTTTAAACATTTATCTGCCCAGATGTTCTTTAGCACTTCCTGCTGGTTCCCTGACTACATTGGGATTTGTAGTCCATCGGGTGTGTTCTGGATCTGCCCCGGGGTCTCTTCCCAGGTGGACAGATCTTGCGTATCTGAGGCATCAGCTGGCTCCTTCCAGTGCAAAAGAGCAGTGATTCTACTCTGATCTCTTTTTAGATATCTGAGCTAATGCACTTCTAGTGTTGTGGTTTAATCTGTTCTCAGAGACACATCACAGAACATTATATTAGCTTTTGATGTGCTGTATTAGACACAAGGATTCATGAAAGATTTCTTAGCTTAAAAAGGCTTTAGACGGAACCAAAGAACAAGAATCTCCCTTACTTCACTGCTTTGGTTATCAAACTTTAACCACTATCAGACTAACTAGACTAAATTATGAACTTTCAGCAAGTGCTTCAACTTCCCTCCCGTCCGCCACGAGTAGAATCATTGCTTGTAGTGCTAAAGCCTGTCATTAAGCACTTCTCAATTTATGATGCTTCCCTCCGTGACCCTTCATTTTTTATATCCACCATAAAGCTTCAGATTCACTCTGAAAACTGGAAGTCTTATCTGTCAGTGGCAGTAGTAAAAATATGTGCAGTAACTCGAGATCTCAGTCCTGAAAATGATAGGTGTCGTCCACTGTTCTCACCGCATTTCATTGTGTCACCTAGATGTATTTTTTTGTCACCGTTTTTATTAGAATCAGAGCGCTTTCCCCAGCGTTGAGCAGCCATAGCCTGTTATCTTCTGGATAAGGGGTTATGGCTGGAGACATGCTGGTAGTTCACACAATAGCAGCATATCTCCACCAGAATAAACTTGCTGCTCACACTCTGCAGATCTCCAGACAGTCTGACTGTCCTCTCTGGGCTATTTAGATTCTCACAGTTTCTGACACTTCTGTCTAATTTCTGCTCAGTCAAAGCCTGTCATTTTCTCCCACATGTGCAAACATACACTCACAGATCACAGCAGGACCATTAATCCTTAAGGGGCACTGCACCAATTTCACATTCACTTATTTTGTTTGACTAATAATGATGACTGCTAAGCCTGTGTAAAAAGAATAATTTCTTCTGTGACTCTGGAAGAGTAGTGATATCTTGGGCATCTCAATTTAGGTTTGTGGGTGTAGAGTTAAAAAGACAGAAATGTTTACCACCTGTTGAAGGTCTAATGAAAACCCAGATCCAGTGTCTTAGGACTTTGACCCATACTAGGGACTAAAAGTGCAATACAGAATCTCTTTTAATGAACTGTCTCGAGAAAAGAGAAGAAAAAGGCTTATTTTATAAGCAACCAGATATTAGATTTAGCTTCAGTAGCCAAGTATGTTTATGCATACAAAGAATTTCACTCTAGTTTCTAATAGCCCTCCATCTGCTTTCACACAGTTCCAAGAACAAATGTTCAGGAAGATGATTTCTATCATCTATATAAATCTATACTAATATATTTATAAACACCATACAATGTCTATATGCACGTCAAACTGTTTCTGTATCTGTAAACAGGGATAGAAACTGTCATAAATATTGTATGAGTAATATAATAGACCTAATAGAAAGTAGGTGGTTTATGTATATACACATCTTTATACAGCACATAATGGTAACATTTTACTTTGTATACAGCTAAATATTGCACTGTAGGAGGGAAGTGGAGGAATATGGAGTACTGTAGTTTCACATTGTTTGTGTGCGTGGTGACAGAGGGCGGCTGCAGAGAGGTAGAGTATAAAACAACGAGGAAAAAGAAAGAAAGAGGAAAGCATGTTCACCCGGGAAATCTAGGTCACCTGCTGTCATCCTCCCTCAGCTCTCTCCGACACTCAGTCTGTAGAAATCCTGCTACCAGGGTGACAGCTACAAAGCTGGTTTGAAATTATGCATCAGTAAAAGAAAAAAAACGTCAGGTCAAAACCCTCCTATGCAAACACTGACAGATTTATTACAGGGCTTAAAGTCAAGATCTGTGTTTTTAGTTCTCACCTGTCTAACAGGATACTCCTTATTCCCATCAGCTGTGATAGATGACGGGTCACGGTGCGACCACCGAAACATCTCTCTGTCCACGTTTGTGTGTTCTGTTGTGCAGGTGGACAGCGACAGGCCGGAGGAGACCAGGCTGATAGAGATTGATGAATCCCAGCGCAGTGAGCACACAGTCTTTATCACACCTCCAGAGCTGCCTCCTCTGCCTGAGGGGGAGGAATATCCACTGTGCTACAGGTACAAACTGAGCTCATGGAGCTGACATTCCCTCTCAAATGGGAGAATAAATATTAATATTTGTAACTTTTCTTGTTTTATTCTTGGCAAGTTTTCATGTTTTGATAACATTTTGCGGTTGAGTTATTGTTGCTTTCACACCAGAATCTACAAAACACATCTCAGATTATTATTGGCCAGTAACTAGAGGTGGGAA